CATAATCCTCATATATAAAATTAATTATTCCCATGATTCCATCAGAAACAGGTTAAATGTGTTCCTTGGCATGTGTAAACATGATATTCCACCCATAATCCCCATATAGAAAAATAATTGTGGACTAAAAGTGGTAAACGAAGTAAGTGTCAAAAGCGAAATTGTTGGGAAATCACAAAACACTTTTTTTACACATATCTGGCACTTACTAGTGACCTCTTTACAAGCTCTTTTGAACTTCATAGAGGACTACCAGGCACTTTTTACGTTTACCACATTATAAAGCATTGCTCATTTGACACTTAAACATGGAAAACGGTGTTTGAATTTTTTTGGCACTTACATTGTTTACCACTTTTAGTCTTCAATCATATCTATGATTCCATCAGAAACACGTCAAATATGTTCCTTGGCATGTTTAACCATGACTTTCCAGTCATAATCCCCATATAGAAAAATAATTATTCCCATGGTTCAATCAGAAACAGGTTAAATAAGTTCCTTGGCATGTATAAACATGATATTCCACCCATAATCCCCATGTAGAATAATAATTATACCCATGATTCCATCAGACACACATTAACTATACTCCTTGTGTCACGGTTCTCAACGTGACATCCAGATGTGGTCGCCCCAGAAGTGCCCAACAGGGGATATAAAATCTGGACTCTTTCTGCCTTAGTCCTGCTGTCTTGCCTCTGGGCCACACTTCTGTTTTTGTTTCTGCCTATGTTTAGCCTGTCTTGTCTGCAACACTAGGGGGCTGGACTTTACCTGTGGCTGCTCCTGTCTCTCTATGTCCACCTGAGGCAGATAGCTTATTAGCAAGGTATTTAAACCTGCCTCTCCATGAGAACATTGTCAGTTCTTTGATTCGGGTGATTGTGTGTTGTTCCTGTTTTGTCTCCTGATACTTGTTCTCCAGATTGACCCCGGCTCCTGACCTTGGTGTTTCTCCTTGTTTATCCTGACCTCTGGACTTCACCTGTGGCTGCTCCTGTCTAGGGGGGACTAGCGGGCTGGACTTTACCTGTGGCTGCTCCTGTCTCTCTATGTCCACCTGAGGCAGATAGCTCATTAGCAAGGTATTTAAACCTGCATCTCCATGAGAACATTGTCAGTTCTTTGATTCTGGTGATCGTGTTTTGTCTCCTACTTGTTCTTCAGATTGACCCTGGCTCCTGACCTTGGCTTTCCTCTTTGTTTATCCTGACTTCTGACTTTGGCTTATCCTTGATGATCCTTCTGCTTGTGTCTGTCCTGCAAATTTGAGCACCACAGATAGGTCCCTCATTATTTTACTTTAGGGCCCCCACCCACCGCTCAGGGGTGTGGACCAGGGGGGAGGACATTAGGTTCCCCCCCTTATTGGTATTTAGGGCCCCCACTCACCGCTCAGGGGTGGGGGCCGTGGGGAGAACAACCTCATCACCTTGGACTGTGTGTATCTGCAAGGGTGAGCACAACTGGACTCCCACCTCAGGTAAGACCCTGACACCTTGGCATGTGTAAACATGGTATTCCACCCATAAACCCCATACAGAAAAATAATTATACCCATGATTCCATCATAAACATGTTATAATATATACTCCTTGGCATTTGTAGCCTTGATGTTTCACCCATAATACCCATGTATAAAAGTAATGATACCCATAGTCTTATCATAAACAGGTTAGTATGTTCCTTGGCATGTGTACCCAAAATGTTTCACCCATAAGCCCCATGTTTAAAACATCTAGGTTTCTATCAAAGCAGGTAAACTGTGGTGCTTTGCACATACATGTAACGGACCGTTTTGCACACAAGGGGTAAAAACCGTTTAGGCGACCGTCCCCCTTTCCAGAGATGCAGGCACAGCTATTGTAGAACACCAAACTCATGAACCGCCACTAAAGGAATGCTCCAAACTCCCGAACGGCATCCAATATAGCACTCCAAACACACGAACTGGAACCATACGATTCGTTGCTAGCAGACGAATAGGAAAAGCATCCAAGCGGCTTAAACTCCTAGCAATCAGTCTCTATCAGCATACAGTAAATCCCCCCAAAGACGAGACAAGGCTTCCGTGTTGAGGGTCAAGCAGTGGTCTGTTTAATGAGGGCTACCTGCCCAGTATTTATGCAGGTCTCCCACCTTGTGGACACTCCCCTAGGGGGCCAAATGGGAGACTGTGACTAAAGACAGACAATCAGCCAAACAGGACACACAGTCACATTATATTACCACAATGCATCCTGGCTTCCTCCCCTCTGCCTTAGAGATAATTGAGATGTAATTCAATTATCTCCCAAGACAAAGGCAAATCGCCATTATGCACATGGGGATACTAAAACAGGAATTACTGTTAAAATACACTATGTAAGACACATAACATTAAAAGCATAGATTTAACATATCCCCAGATAGCTCAGGTCTGAGAGAATATTATTAAGCGAATGGCGCTCAGACCACACGAATACAGTGTAATTGCCAAGGAGCCAACGTCTTTATACAGTCAGTTCTATGCGAATGAGCTCCATGGGATTCCTATCTGGGGTATAACACATTCAAGCAAAACTACTGAACACCGGGCTGTTCGTGCACTTTCACCGACCAAGAAGGGAGGTCGGCGGCTTCAGCGGTGTTCGCGCAAAACTGTGTCGGATTTCAGTTCCATGAATTAAGCGTCGAACACCGCTGTGCATTCGCATGTTTAAAATGGCTGTGACCTCGTGTTCATGATACGAATGGCAGCCACCCAGCATTCGTTAATTAAGCTGCAGTTAACCGCAGCTACAGGGAGGCTAATTGCCAGCACACTCCAGCTCCCAGGTGGTCCAGTCATTTGTGCGGTTGTTCGGTAGATTGAATCTACCGAACACCAGGCAGAAAAGAACGAATAAATCTTTTCTGCAGGTAAAAATATGTCTTTTAACAGGGGGCCATAGTCCAAAGGCAGCAGGTGAGCAACCAGGCTTCTCCAATGCAATGTGGCGAGATTGGTCTCGTCACAATACATATACTATATTAAATCAGTAATCTAGTTCTACAAGTGTATTGACCCATTTTTGTCAATTTTTAGTAGTTAAAGTTTGCAACTTAGAACATATAATATTTTGAGTTGCATCAGAGTCATTACCAAGTAGGTATGTGTGTGAAAAGTATACTGACACCTAATGAAAGTACTGAGCATTGCAGCCAATCATCCTATCATCCCAATATTCTGTTTAGTATGTCCCGGTGGGTCAGTAAGGACATTTTTGTAATACATACACCATTTTTGCCTTCTATTAAAGAATAACATCTTCTTGGGTGCACATTTTTAATATAATGTGCTGAGCATATATGGGTTTTGTAGATGTACATGAAAAAAATTGTGAAAGCTTATGGAGCCATAAGCAACTGTAAACCCTAATTTCCTTTATCATTGCAATAAACTAATGACTAAAATAATGTCCCCAGATCTATTTACAGATCATGTTTCATGTTAAAAAGATGATGTGAGGCAACTCTTAAAATGTAACTTTTCATAGTTGATTTTGTTCTTTGTGTGAATTCTACAGTCAATAACATTTAACAGAAATGTTAAAGGATCACTATAGTGTCAGGAAAACAGTGGTTTCTTGACACTATAGTGCCCCCACCCTCAGGGCCCCCCTCCCATGGTGCTGAAGGGGTTAAAACCCCTTCAGCAGCTTACCTTATTCTAGCGCCAGGCTCCCTCGGCGCTGGTGACCTCTCCTCCCCTGCCGACGTCAGCTCCCCCGTCTGATGTCAGCGGAGCCAAATGCGCATGCGCGGCAAGTGTCTATAGGAAAGCATTTCTCAATGCTTTCCTATGGATGCTCTTCGCGATGGAGGCATAATATACCTCCAGCGTCGCAGACGCGCCTCTAGTGGCTGTCCAGAAGACAGCCACTAGAGGCTGGCTTAACCCCAAATGTAAACATAGCAGTTTCTCTGAAACTACTATGTTTGCATCTGAAGGGTTAAAACCTGATGGACCTGGCAATCAGACCATTTCATTGAGCTGAGGTGGTCTGGGTGACTATAATGTCCCTTTAAAACACAGCTACATGGGGGCGGAGCCTAACCGCCGAGCTGGAAGGACGCGTTGAACACCAGCTCCTGCCTGAACGCAACAAAAACAAGGGTAAATACCCCGAAAATCGGTGCGTCCACCAGCTGGAGGGTATGAGACAGAGTGGGGACACCCAGGAGCACAAAATGATACCAAACTCGAGTACCCCACAGCCCGGAAACCCACAAAAAGCACCTGAGGCCTACCAGCGACTGAGCCGGGGAGAGGCGGCCGCTCTCCTCGAAGACACAGCCGCGCATAGAACCCTCGGCGCACCCGCCTCCCTCCCCCCCCCACCAGGACCGGCGGGGGTCATCCCGGTCCACACTAGACACCAGGGCTGCCAACTGACACAGCCTACCAAGCCTGTACCAATACCTCACAGAGACAGCTCCTCACATGGCGAGTCCAAGATGGCAGCTGGCGGCAAGAGGCACACGGCAGGCACACAAGCGAAGTTGGCGAACATAGTACCAATAAAACCTACTGGAGGCCCACAGGAACCTCTTGAAAAACGGCTAGATGAGCTCTTTCATGCCTTCTGGCTGAAGCTCGAACATAGACAAGCTCTGACCGCAGAGAAAAGCAGAGAAGATGGAGCACAGAGGCTCCAGCTCTGCACAGCTATGCTGTCCACAGCCTGCTCAGCAAACCCTGGGAGGAAAGCCCGCCAAACCACAGCCCGTCCACGTCCTGTGAAACGCAGTACCTACTCGCCTAAACAGAAAACTAAACGGAGGACACACTGGATACAAGCTACACGCCACCGGCGGGAACAACCTTGCCCTCAAACCAAGCATACTGCCAGCTGGGACACCGCTCGCGGAACTAAGAGGGACCGAAGAGCTGGGAACTACACAGGTGCCCTCGCAGAGGCCTGGGGCCAATGGGGTAGAATAATACAGCGCGACACCTCACCGACACCCGCACAATGCATACCCCGGATCACCACGAAACTCCCACATGGACCGAAGCCGGTCTCACCCAAGCTCTCACTCAAGCCTCCACCAACGCCAAGCACAAAAGCTACGAAGAGCCCTCTCCCAAACCCACGCAGAGTGTCAAAGAGACTCGGAGCTCCGACAAGCGGATGGGGGAGACCGGGGCAGAAGCCCCCTTTTACACACTATAAATGGTTACCGGGACTGTTTCTGACTGGTGTGGGCTGAATGGAGAGCAATTCACAACCTACAACATCTCGGCACCAGGACATTGGCACCATCCTTCTCTTGACCTCGAAGACCTCGTAAGAGGGACATGTTCATTTTTATTTTTTTTATTTTTTTTGTGTGTGTGTGTTTTTTGCAGTTTCATTCTTGGGTTATTTTAATGGCTCCTATGACGTACAAAACGAGAAGTAGTAGTTCTTCTGTTTCACATACCTATCTAACCATCGTCATGCCTGAAAGAATATGCACACAGATAGCATGTTTAGCCTGTATAGCATTATTACACACCTATATGCATACAACATCTTTAAACCCCAGCACAGCTCCATATGTTACACAATCTATTGTTGTCTACGCTAACAGAAAACCCGCACGCTACTCATCTAGCTATTAACTTAAACTAAACTACAAACACTAAACTACAAACACATTTCAATCTTTACCTTCAATTATCACTCACATGTCTAGCAAGTACATACAGTTAGACACGCAATTCCAGCTAGGACTCGACATGATTATTTTATCTAGCATGTTTCCTGATACGCCTGTTTGTAATATGCTATAACTCGTGTACTAAAAACAAAAAAAAGTGCAGTATACCACAATGACGCTAAAAGACACATTGTTACCCTGTCTCTAAAGCTTTGTGATAATGCTGAAATGTATATTTAACACTGCACTGAAAAATAAAGAATTAAAAAAAAAAATAAAACACAGCTACATACAGAATTTTTTTTTATATGAATAAGGATATCATTAGTTGCATTTATGAAGAGGCAGAAATAGGCATGCAAGTAACTAGAGAAAATGTTAATTAAAACATAATATATGTTTAATATATATTTAGATCCCATTTAAACTTTAAAATGTATCACAATGCTCAGTCAGTTGGATTAACACACACTCCTTACACGTCATGAAAACCTTCTTGGTCAAAGAAGGGAGTGCCCACCCACATTTAAAGAAAATCATGCTGCAATACATCACGAGTTAGACAGCTACTATATGCATGCTGCTGGATTATTTCTTCTCAACTGCATGGCTCGAAGCTTCGCTGCTCTGAACGTATTTGTATTGGCTGTATTGGTGCTTCCTACAATTCTCTGTTTTCTTGGAGGATCATGAATATTGTAAAGCTTTTCATTCTGACTTTTATTGAAGGTAATGCATTATTTTTCAGGTTTAGATCATAGTTGTATTACTGTATTCTATTTTAGTCAAATACATCTATAAATAGATGCCCTCGCACTGCCTGCCCGGAGTATTGCTGTAAAGGCTTATTTTTGGGACATAACATCACTACTAGCAGTCTTCAGAATTTATGTTAAGGCAAATGTTTACTTGTGTGTGAAATGAACAATTTAGAACTTTTTTAATAATTCGGATTACATTTTTTTTTTTTATCAGTTTCCTACATATTTGTGCATGGAGCAGTAATTGGAGCTAATCAAAATGATATTTTCAACAAAGGCACACGTGATTTTGCTGGTGTTGGTGAAAGTTTCCTATATAATGAAAAAAAAGTTTTTTCTACTGGGAATCACATTCTTGCATTTCCAAGAGGTAAGTAAAATATATAAACCCAATTTGCTAGTTGAAGTATAAGACAATATGACTCATACATATGATTGTTGATTGTAACATGACTTTATTTAGTATTTTATATGCAGTTGATTCATAACTTTTCCTGGATATCTACAGTAATCACAGCAAGTTACCTAAGTGGTTCATTAACAAGTTATAGTTATTCTTTTAAGGGAACCTATAGTCCCTGAAAGTAATAATTATTGGGGACTCTACATCCTTAGCACGTGAAATATACTTGTTTCCAGTGTCAAGACTATGCCATTGCAGCTACTCACCTCCTTCTTCCTCAGATTGGACATTATCTTGTCCAATCCAATGCTTCTCATGGAGAACAGTGGGGAAGAGAAGCACATGTACGTCAAGCACCACACTCCTTTATTCAAATTAATCCAATGCTTTCCTATGATCAGCATTTGATTACATTTAATGTCAAAGGTCATTGTAGTGGAAGTACCCTTTAGTGCCTGTCAGGACCTTTACACTGCAGGACCAAAACTAAAGGGACTCTGCACCAAGACCACTATAATTTGCGTGCCATCAGGGCCGGTGCAAGGATTCCTGCCGCCCTAGGCAAAGATCTATTTTGCCGCCCCCTCATGAATACATTTTGTCAGGGGTTTATTCACTAAACTCTCAATTTCAGTGAATTGAAAACCAAATTGCAACAGCTGAACTGTGACTGTAGCTGAGTTGGAGATTATTCTAAATCAGTTACTTTGGCCTAAATTTGCCATTTGGTTTCCAATTCGGTCTGATCAGCTGTCCCTTTCCTCCAAAGTGCACATTCTATGATAAACAATCTATCTTTCTCATTAGAGTTTATCACTATCATTACAGGGAGTGCAGAATTATTAGGCAAGTTGTATTTTTGAGGATTAATTTTATTATTGAACAACAACCATGTTCTCAATGAACCCAAAAAACTCATTAATATCAAAGCTGAAAAGTTTTGGAAGTAGTTTTTAGTTTGTTTTTAGTTATAGCTATGTTAGGGGGATATCTGTGTGTGCAGGTGAATATTACTGTGCATAATTATTAGGCAACTTAACAAAAAACAAATATATACCCATTTCAATTATTTATTATTACCAGTGAAACCAATATAACATCTCAACATTCACAAATATACATTTCTGACATTCAAAAACAAAACAAAAACAAATCAGTGACCAATATAGCCACCTTTCTTTGCAAGGACACTCAAAAGCCTGCCATCCATGGATTCTGTCAGTGTTTTGATCTGTTCACCATCAACATTGCGTGCAGCAGCAACCACAGCCTCCCAGACACTGTTCAGAGAGGTGTACTGTTTTCCCTCCTTGTAAATCTCACATTTGATGATGGACCACAGGTTCTCAATGGGGTTCAGATCAGGTGAACAAGGAGGCCATGTCATTAGATTTTCTTCTTTTATACCCTTTCTTGCCAGCCACGCTGTGGAGTACTTGGACGCGTGTGATGGAGCATTGTCCTGCATGAAAATCATGTTTTTCTTGAAGGATGCAGACCTCTTCCTGTACCACTGCTTGAAGAAGGTGTCTTCCAGGAACTGGCAGTAGGACTGGGAGTTGAGCTTGACTCCATCCTCAACCCGAAAAGGCCCCACAAGCTCATCTTTGATGATACCAGCCCAAACCAGTACTCCACCTCCACCTTGCTGGCGTCTGAGTCGGACTGGAGCTCTCTGCCCTTTACCAATCCAGCCACGGGCCCATCCATCTGGCCCATCAAGACTCACTCTCATTTCATCAGTCCATAAAACCTTAGAAAAATCAGTCTTGAGATATTTCTTGGCCCAGTCTTGACGTTTCAGCTTGTGTGTCTTGTTCAGTGGTGGTCGTCTTTCAGCCTTTCTTACCTTGGCCATGTCTCTGAGTATTGCACACCTTGTGCTTTTGGGCACTCCAGTGATGTTGCAGCTCTGAAATATGGCCAAACTGGTGGCAAGTGGCATCGTGGCAGCTGCACGCTTGACTTTTCTCAGTTCATGGGCAGTTATTTTGCGCCTTGGTTTTTCCACACGCTTCTTGCGACCCTGTTGACTATTTTGAATGAAACGCTTGATTGTTCGATGATCACGCTTCAGAAGCTTTGCAATTTTAAGAGTGCTGCATCCCTCTGCAAGATATCTCACTATTTTTGACTTTTCTGAGCCTGTCAAGTCCTTCTTTTGACCCATTTTGCCAAAGGAAAGGAAGTTGCCTAATAATTATGCACACCTGATATAGGGTGTTGATGTCATTAGACCACACCCCTTCTCATTACAGAGATGCACATCACCTAATATGCTTAATTGGTAGTAGGCTTTCGAGCCTATACAGCTTGGAGTAAGACAACATGCATAAAGAGGATGATGTGGTCAAAATACTCATTTGCCTAATAATTCTGCACTCCCTGTATATTTATTTTCATTTTTTTCTTTTTCTTTCAACGCTTGCAGTCTCTATGTTCATGATTTCTCTGCTCATTCCATGCCACTGATTCTCTCAAGCCTGTTTCTCTTCATTCTGATGGGGTTATTCATTAAAGTGAGAATTATTGGGAATTTAATGTGAATTTCTAATTTTAAAAACAAAAAAAACTGAAACCTTCTCCAGATTTGGCTACTTTGACTTTCCATTTGAAATTCACTTTTGATTCATTTTGAAGTCCCAACAATTCTCAGTTTAGTGAATAAACCTGTCATTGTATTTTGTCCTCAACTCCTCAACTCTGTCTACATTAAGGAATGAGCCAAATGTACACGTTGTGATCAAAACAAAATGTAAACAAAACCTGGAATTTGCGCTATATGTCTGTTCAGGCATAATTCACCTCTTTCATATTATGTGCACCCACACTTATTATATAGCATTTTGTACAAGGGAAACAGGGCTTTCATTTAACATCAAATATTTAGGTAAACATAATTTAATAATGCTGTTTGCTTTTAATGCAATAAAATACACATATTTGTATTCGGCGATGTCTCACGTGTAAAACAGCACCCACTATGTATAGGTTTTATGGGGTTTTGAGAAGTTACAGGGTCAAATATAGCATGTTACATTTTTCAGTTTTTTCACATTGAAATTTGCCAGATTGGTTATGTTGCCTTTGAGACCGTATGGTAGCCCAGGAATGAGAATTACCCCCATGCAATAGTACACAACCCAAGGTACTGCAAATGGGGTTTGTCCAGTCTTTTTTTTTGCAAATTACAATTGCAAATAGTATGCCGTCATGGGGGTAATTTTCATTCCTGGGCTACCATACGGTCTCAAAGGCAACATAACCAATCTGTCGAATTTCAATGTGAAAAAACTGGAACACAAGCCTTATATTTGACTCTGTAACTCTTGAAAACACCATAAAACCTGTACATGAGGGGTACTGT